TTCTGTATGAATCCATGTTTTTGAATGAATCAGTTGAGTGAATGTTTCAGTAACTCACTCATAAAGACTTTTTTAATTCCTGAAAGAATCAGTATTGTTGAACAAATTGATTCTTGAGTGTATCTCCTCTGGGGGGGTCCACAGTTTGAGAACCACTTATGATTTAGTATATTTTCTCAATAATGAGACACTAATAGGAACAAAAAGAGAACACTCTAACAGGAACCCAGAATGAGAAAACATTATTTATGAGCATATTTAGTGGAATGACATTTTCAGATGAAATTGTTCAGAGACCTGCTGAACAAGGAGAGTCAGTTCAGAAGACTGGACTGTTTACATTAGTGGCCACAACTGTTCCTGGCATTGTTTTACGGCAAAGGTCTGGCCAATCAATTCTTTAAACATTGCTGTGCACTCACAGTTGATTCAAATAGTGTAACAGCACACCTCTCCCCAGCTGGGTTTCCATCACCCGGCTTTTATGCGCATTTTGAAGTATCACATCAGAATTGAGAGTTGGAAACGCTGAATTTCGAATAAAAATGCCTTAATTCGAAAAAAAAGTTTTTACGCTCGCTTGAGGTGGTTTTTGACTTCTGCGAAAAAGGGTTAATGCGAATAATGGGAGATGGAAATGCATTTTGCGAATAAATTCCTCCAAGCGCATCAAAAAAGTCATGTGACTTTGCGCTATGGGACGGCAAATTCTGACTAACCAGCGGACCGATCTCATTCACAGCATCTAAAATGTTGTTATGGTTATTCGGAAATGCCTGAGCAAAGTCTGTCATCAAAGTATTTCTGTATAATTGCCTCCCAGAACTGTTAAACGACTGCGTTCCCAAACAGCAGCATCCACCTCCGAAAGCAATAACCGCATTCATTGTGCTTCGTCTGCTCGTTCTGAGGTGCAATTTATTATGTAGGAAAATTATTATATTCAGTAGCTTCTCCTACTTTTCTTAGTGATGTATAGTGCCAGTTTATCAGGAAGTGATGATTTTGTTCTCTTTGACTCGTTGGATGGAAACGGTGCTTGTTCGCAAATGTTTTGTGCGATATTCCAATTTTGCGCATAAGTTAAATTCGCAACTTTGGATGGAAACCCAGCTACACACACACACACACAGTCTTCTTCTCTCCCTCACTTTGTCTCTCTTGGAGGTTTGACAATGTCCTGGCTCTATCCGACAGAAGTTGTCCTGCCAAGGAAAATGAGCTCTGTTGAAATGGAAAGTCTGAAGTCACTCAGGGCTTTTTGGCAAAAGACAATTACGCAAAGCAGGGGCATCTAGAAGAAATCTGCATCTTGGGGATGGATCCAGAGCAGTTTCTTTGGTTCTGCTCAATTTTTCAGCACATAGTTACTGAGATCAATTTAAAAAGGAGAGGTTTGATCTTGGAGCTGTATCCCAGAGCTTTGTGAGTAAAGGTACAGATGTGTCTGTTATCTAACCAGGGGAGGAAGGAGAAAAGGGAAGAGTGGAGACGAGGGAGATGTTTGTACAGGAGACATTGTGGGTGAGGTTTGAGCCTGGTTATCAGAAGCATGGCAGTGGGCAGGAAGCAGCTCTGACCTGAGGTCACATTCTGATGAAACTTGCCAACTTCCCAGAAAAAAATGTTGAGTCACTGCTTTCTCTCTGAGTGAAAACTACCAATGATGATTTGCTTTGTTATAGACCTCTTCTGATCTGAATAGACATTACATCTAACCTTGGTTGACTAAATATAGGTTCCAACAGATTTTGACATTAGCATGTTACTAAACTAATGATCCAGTACTTTAATATTGACTAATATTTCAATAAATATTGACATAATCATGCTACTAAGCTAATGACTCAATAGCACACACTCAAATAATTGATAATATTGGAATATTTCAAAAGATTCTGATGTTAGCGTGTTGCTAAGCTAATAGCCCAAACACTTCAATAGCCCACCCAAATATTTCAATAGCTGACATAATTGAAATAAGCATGTTACTAAGTTAATAAGATACAGTAATAGCACACAAACAAATGTTGGATAATATTGAAAAAATGGGTAATATTCCAATAGATTCTGATCTTAGCATGTTGCTAAGCTAATGGCCCAATACTTAATTAGCACACAAAAATACTGGATATTCCAAAACCTAGTGAGTTGTTGTTGTGCTTTCTGAATTTTTATTTTGTTTTTTAGACTTGCATTTACGTTTGTAATTTGTTATTTTGATTTCAGAATTGTGATTTGTTTAGCACTTCTCGGCCACCGTAGAGCAGCCTTTTTGACAACTCTACATTTGACTCACATTTGTTTTCAATAGATTTTGAGGTTAGCATGTTGCTAAGCTAATGACCCAATACTTTAATACTAATATGCCATTAGGTAAAACTATTTTTCAATACTGATTGAAATATATTTATAGAGTAGTTGGTTAGTCTTAGCTGGTTTAAGCTGGATGTAGCTGGTTTAAACTAGTTAAGCTGGTCTCCCAACCTGACCAAGCTGGTTTTAGCTGCATGATGTGTTACTGTACATACAGACATGCGAAGCGGGATGCTGTCGATCATCACCTGGGTGGGGTGTGGACTAATGCTTTAAAGTGGAGCTTTTCTGGTAAGAACACTCATGGGGAAGTGAAGTGTTCTCAGATTGGTGCCATTAAAGTGGGTTTGGGCGTTCTCTGTCTTGAAAACCCCAGGAACACATGGACAAAGACAGCATTTGGAAGCAGGGATTTTAAGTGGGCACAGCCCTTCAGACCCCACCCGTTTCCTCTGACATCCTGTCTGCCATGGATTACAGTCATGCACACACACACACACACACACACACACACACACACATGTTTGTTTTTGTGAATTGTGGGGACATTACATAGGCATAATGGTTTTTATACTGTATAAAATGTATGTGCTATTGCCCTACACCAACCCTACACCTAACCCTACCCCTTACAGGAAACTTTGTGCATTTTTACTTTCTCAAAAAAACTCACTCTGTATGATTTATAAGCGTTTTGAAAAATGGGGACATGGGGTAATGTCCTCGTAAGTCACCTTCTCCTTGTTAAACCTATGTCATACCCATGTCATTATACAAATTTGTGTCGTCATATGTCACAAAAACGCGCGCACACACACACACAAAGAGATTGAGAGTTAAACTAAGCAGGTCAACAGAAGCCAAAACAGTCAGCAGTTTCCAGTCTCTCTAATGAATCTGCAAACGCTGCAGTAACAGGAAGAAATAAGGTGATTTCCATATATAATCCACCTTCTCCGTTTATCAGTGCTACAGAGTTGTGAGACAGGACTAACCCCATGACCTCCAATGACCAAGGAAGCATTCAAACTTATGCAATACTTCCGAATGCTCTTTATGCAAGTTTGTGAGCACATAGCTGCCTGTGCTTCATTCCTGTAGTGTTAGTTTTAGTGTAATTCATGAAGTTATAATAACCAGTGGCATGAGAATTATTTTAAGAATTTGCTCAATTGTGATTAAGATAAATTACAAATTGTCCACAATAATGGGGGGGGGGGAATCATGTGATGGGCCATGTTTCTCAAAAATATCCATGCTAGTTTCATATTTTTTTTTTACTGAAAAGTTTAAACTGAATGAACCATTAAGTCTCACCACATGATGTTTTACAACCTGAGCTGGCCTTGCTTTGTCATAAAAAAGTCAAAATATCTAATATTTGAAGAGTTTTGTATTAAGAACGGGCAGCTTTTCCTAGCTACTGTAATATAATTTACTTTGTATCTTTTTTTCTGATGTTAGTTGAACAACATGACTTTCATTTGCTGGCTTTTCAAATATTAATAATCAGTTTTAAAACTTTTTATTATAAATTTCAATAAGACATCATGCCAAACTATTTTATGTATATAAGAATTTTATTTTTTCAATTCGTTTTTTTTTAAGTTAAAAAACATGATCATAATTGAAGAGGTACACTTAAGTCAATTAATGTATGTAACATTGTTTTTTTTTTAATCAGTTAATAGATCCTGACAAAAAATGAGTGTCATGCCATTAGCCCATTACCTTCCAATAAATGACTAGATTTATAATGGCATTAAGCAGTTAATTTGTAGTAAATGCTAGCAGAGGGTGATTGTGTAGTACTGAATATAACAGCTTGTCCATTTGAATTCTAGTAATTTATGCAAGTGTAAATTTCACACCTCTCATTTCCTGCTGTCTGGAAATTGGAAGCTATTTTTTTGACTTTCAGTACTTCAGCATTTCACATTTATATTTACTATAGCAAGGTTTCAATTCTCATTAACAATCAGACACACATGCCAAATCATGAACACACAAAATGTCTAACAACTGTCAAATAATCCTGCTGTATAATGGTTGTTTCCTTGCTTAAACTACCCATGTTTAATGATGTCTCAACTGAATATAAAAACATGGGCAATGTCAATACAAAGTTATGTATCATAACATTCCTGAAGGAGTAACTAATGTCTTGCCAGATGTCATAATTCGGGATTGTTGCTTTAAAATAATCTAAAACAAGATCACATGGCACAGTTTGAGTCAGTTGTTTTCAAGATGCTGTGCTCACAATTGGAGAAGTAAACAGAAAATGATAAATAACGACTGATAGATCGATTTTTCACAAGTCAAGGCATCTGTTCCTATCTTGAAATACATTGTGAAATGCCTCAAGTAGTACTAATAGTAAACACTTCTCAGAGAATGATATATTAATGCTTATTAAACCGTCTGGCCTGCTCTCTAACATATGTTTATTGTTATCCTCACACAGTCTATCCACTGAACTGTCACTAAGCACAGCTCCTATATGATCTGTGAGACAAATCCAAAGCTGAGAGGTTTTTACTCTGTCGTGTCATCACAGTTATACCAAAACATATTTGATTTCTCTGTTCCTCACTATGGCTGACAGTCTGCAGAACAACACAGTGTGATTTAACACTTGAAGTTATTGAAGCCTGACATTGCTTTTCTGCTATCCCTTATAGGAACAGTGCTATCAGGATGTTGATGCTGGATGGGATGCCAGCCCTGCCAGTCAAAATCGATCCTGCAGAGTCACAGAGACGGGGAAGCGGTCAAAGCGATGTCCCACAGGTGTAGTCAGAGGCTTTTAAAACTCAAGATGACATGTGATGACTGTCCCATTTATTTTAAGGTCCAATTCTCACTCCAAATTACTGCTTATTAATAATTAGTAAGGTAGTTGTTAATTTTAGGTATTGGGGATTAGGGATGTAGAATATAGTCATGCAGAATATGTGCTTTATAAGTACTAACAAACAGCCAATATGTTAGTAGTATGAATGCTAATAAGCAACTACTTAATAGTGAGAATTGGTCCCTATACTAAAGTGTTACTGTGATAATTAACCAATATCATAGTCACTCAGTCTGCAACTCACTCACAATGCAAACCAATGCTGTTGTATTTATCACCCCTAGACCAATCAAAATTGAGGACTGAAACAAACTGTTAAACATGTTCTGGTGGGTAAATATCACATACCTGTCAAGAAAATGTCATAGTCCAACAAACCAACCAACAAACGTACAAATAAATAAATTAGTAATAATTACACATACAAAGTAAGCCTACATTGAGGACTACACATATTTTTTGTTACAATTTTTATTGAGCTATTGTCAGGACAATTACTTTTAATATCACCATTAATTTCAGTGATTATTCTCATTACAGTAAAAGTAATCTTTACTTTATTTTAACTTTATGAAAAAAATGAACAAAAATCAACACAAATTAAAGGTAGTATACAGCAATACTACACTGATGTGTAAATTCTTTTTATATTACAATTTACTAAATTTGAGTAGAGAGAGTATTGCATGTTATATTTTACTGTGTGTGTGTGTGTGTGTGTGTGTGTGTGTGTGTGTGTGTACTGTATACATACTAAGATATATATTCATGTTATTGTTATTATCATTATTATTATTACAATAATGCGAACATGACAACGAGAATCTTTTGCAGCATTACAATGATAATATTTTGATGTTTATGCAAAATATAATTACTTTTTTTTTTTTACTTTGGAGTGAAATATCAGGGTGGTTTTTCTTCAGGGTGGTCTGTCCTATGCTTTGAGTCTTCAGGATACGTGCCAGAATTTCAGACTTGACCAAATAAACATATACACGTGCTCCCCAGTCCTAAAGCTCTCTCTTAATTTTCATGCACAGCTAAACCCACACAGAATATTTTGCACCCTGGTTTACCCGTTTTACCCAGTTGTCGTTGTCGTGTCGTTGATCGGGTCGAGTGCAGGAAGTGAGTAGGCCATGCAGCTCAGCTTTGAAGTGTGTTAAATCAACAGGCAGTGCAGTCGCTGAAACGTGCTTCTTGTTTGAGTGGGCTCAACGCCAAGACCCTTTTCTTGGAAATGCATTGCTCCCCTCTATTAAAGCCGTCCTCACCAGAAGCTCTTCGGATTCGGAAAATTAGCCATAATGACTGGTAGCCCCCCATACAGGGGGTTGGACGTGGGCCGTGCAGGAGGGGAGGGATAGGAAGGTGGGAAAGGTGAAGCATGAGTCGGGAGAGAGAGAGAAATGGGGTAGAGATGAAGTTTCAAAACATGTTCCATTTCGGCTGAACAGCCTCCAAGTCAACCACAGCAGAAAACAGAAGGGACATTTTTGGGCTAGAAATAATGCTGCCAGCAGACCACTTTTTGTCCATGGCTTTACTAGGTCTGAGTGAGTGCTTCTGACATCTTTGACTGGAATGTTTTGTCACTTTACTGATGTTAATTTAGGATAACAGCTGAGTCAGTAAATGTCAGAAAGGCTGCTTTTTCTTCACTTTTTCTCTGCACCTTTTGTGGTGTGTTTTCCTCCTATGTAATAAACAAGCACTCTCAGTACTGTAGGTGTATTCAGCCCTCCGACTTTCATTTCAGCCACCTGCAGTAAGCAATCTTAGGTTATTTCACTCAAAATCTCTCCTTACCAGTCATTAAAATCATATAGTAATCCTTCCTTCTCTTCAGTGATGCACCTGGTTATAAGTGGCATTTACTGCATTTATTTGATCAAAACTACATTAAAAACAGTAATATTGTGAAATATTATTACAGTTTTTTCAAATAACATTTTTTCAGCAGCCATTACTCCAGTCTTCAGTGTCACATGATCCTTCAGAAATCATTCTAATATGCTGATTTGGTGTTTAATAAACTTTTTTTTTATTATTATCAATGTTGAAAACAGCTGCTTAATATTTGTGTGGAAACATTTTTGTGATATATTTTTCAGGTACAAAAAAAAACAGCATTTTTGCAGTCAAATATTTTGAAACATTATAAATATCTTTACTGTCACTTTTGATCAATTTAATGATCAATTAATGATTCTTGCTAAATAAAAGAAAAAAGTATTAATTTCCTTCAAAAGAAAAAAAATCTAAAAATCCCCCAAACTTTTGAACAGGTGGCAATGTTCAGACACACACTTTGCTTCTTTTTCATCCGAACACTCTTTATTCCAGTGAGATCACAAAATAAAATTAATGATATACATCCGGTTTAAAGACAGATACAATTTCTTTACAACTTGAACTATCCTGGCCATGTCATAAAAATGTCAAAGTTCAAAGAGAATTTATTAAAATGTCAGAGAATTAAATCGAGTTAAAAGAAAAAAAAATGTTTTAATGTAAGAGCTGGCGAGTCTTTTTGTAACTTGAAGGCTTCCTTATTTTAGCTGTACAAAAACAGCCTGTTATGCTGCTTGATACTGCAAACTGGTGTATCATATTATTTTAATTTATTATCATAAACACTGGTTTCTAGCACAAATCGCTTTACTATTTACTGCACTTTGTTATTCTTCTAGTTATTTACCTAATGCAGCTAATGAATCTGAAGTCTCACACACTCACAGAAAATAGCATACCTCATAGTTTCAAAATAAGGTGGATAAAATAGGTCTGAAATATAAATTTTAATAAATGAATAGATAGAACAAAACACCCAAAAATGAAAGTTCCGTTCTAAACCTGTATGAGATTCTTTCTTCTGTTGAACACAAAAGAAGATATTTTAAAGAATGTTGGCAACCAAACAGTTGCTGGTAGCCATCGACTTCCATAGTATGGAAAATAAATACTTTGGAAGTCAACGGCTACCAGCAACTTAATAATATCTTCTATTGTGTTCAACAGGAGAAAGAAATTCATACAGGTTTTAAAAACGTGAGGGTGAGTAAATGATGACAGAATGTTCATTTTGGGTGAACTGTACCATTAAGGTCATAAATATTCATTACAAGCTCCTTTTCATGTAAGGACTCTTAAAACTGAAATCCTGGAATGTTCCTGTTTCAGTGTAAAAGTAATTAATAGTTAACTGATTTTATTCTGTCTCTTTCCTCTCAGTCTCCTGTGATCCATGACTACACAGAGATGGGCGTGCTAGTGTTGAACCGCAGATTTCGGACACCATCAGATGATAGACGATTCCTGTTTGACCCCTTCCAGATGCAAACAGAGCCCGTGGACCTGTCCATTAACAGAGCCAGAACCTCCCCATCACTTTCAGCATCGTCATCTTTATCCTCGTCTCCCTCGTCGTCCTCATCATCAATACGATTTTGTCCACGGTCCCCTCCTTCCAGCAAGTCTGTGTCATCTTCATCACCATCGTCATTATCTATGCCTTCAGCCTCCTCCACTTCTGTCATAACCCCCGTTCCTCGTTTGAAGATGTCTCCAGTGGTGGCCTCTCTCCCGTCCAGGTGTCTTAGGGGGCAGTCGTTTTTGCACATACCCCAGCTGATGCCTCCTTGCTCCAGCCCGGTCCACCTCCACCCACGCCGTGTGCCAGTGGTGGTGCAGCCCATGCCGCTGGTCTACCCTGGAGTAGGATCACTGGGAAACAGCAGGCTCATGATGCCGCTGCTGGAGGAAAACAGGATGCACAGGAAAGGTGAGTCAGAAGCTTGTTCACTCAGCTTGATTGTCTTAGTGACCTTACGACAGATAAATGACTGACAGCCCAAATGGCCAATGAAATTGTTGCGCTGATAAGCCTTGTTGTTGTCTGCCATTTTGTCCATCAAACTGAACTTTGTGTAACATACAAACCTTCTTTTTTTGGTAAATACCCAACATTATGGCAAAACAAGTGTTGTTATGGTACATGTAATTCGATACTATACAGAGTCAATGGAGTTTCACTCATTCCATTCCGTTCAATTCCTGAAACCATATAATAACCATTTTAAATCATTTTAAATTTCATTTCAGCTAGTTACCAACTACATTTTTATTTAGTTTAACTTACAGTAATGTACTAAAATAACAAAAACTGAAAAAACTATAGACATTTTAAAAAGCATTAAAATGACAAATACACACAAAATTACTTTTTCCTTAAATTACTAAAACTTTAACTAAAATTACGAAAAAAAGAAAAATATAAAAACAAAAACACATTTAACATTAATAAAAACTACAACAGTATCTCAATACTAAAATAACATTTTCTCCACAGTAGACCACTTGAACAAATAAACTTGCAGATTTTGAATGCTCGTCTAAAAGTAAAACATTTGCACAAACAGAAGGAAAAGTAAAATACAGTATCGTGGATGTTTTTAGAAAGAAGAACAATCGATTTAAATAGTGGTTGTTGTTGTTTTAAATTGACCTATACGTTCATTTTACACATCCCATGATTGTTATATACAAAGACAACATACATGCAGCAAAAGTTTATTTTAAAAAAAGGGGAAAAAACATATTAGTATTTTTCCTTTGTTTTAATGGCAATATTTATGACGTCGACTGTCCGCCTTCTTAGATCTCCACATGTAATTTCAGTATTTTCTCATCTTTTGCTGATATATTTAGTGTTTCAACATAGCATGATACAAAAGCCTGTAATGTGTTTCCTCTTTTTTTTTTGATTAAATAAATCACTGTCACAACTGACAGTATCAAGGTCACTTTTGCTGCAAAATTAATCCTCCTGCAAAGTCTTTCACTCTCTTCCTCTCTCCACTTTCCTCCCTCTTTGTCCGTAGGTGCAAAGTACTGTGTTTCAAAGCCTCTCTTCCGAGTTTCCGTGTTCTTGGCAAGATCAGTGACAGAACCCAGAGCCCGGCTGTTATGAGTGCAGGCTCAGCTCTTATGAGTGAAGCTCCATTGTGCTCGTCTCTTTATACTCCTCAAAACAGGCAGCCACTACATCCATGCAGGAAGTTGATGTTATGGCAAAAACTCTGCTCAGCTAAATGAGGGCACCTGGGTTTATTAGTGACAAAGTGTATGGCGGAAACACAATAGCAACTGTGATAAGAGGCATTTTTAAAGATACTCAACCCCTTTTTACTATCTAGGAAAGCTTGCCTATGAGCAACAGAGCTGTTTTAATGGACTCTGTGGCTAGTAAGCCTTTCTTAATTTTGGGGGGGGAGGGGTATAGATAGAGGCTGGAGATGTCCTATGTCATATAACTCTCTCTTATGTCCTGTATTAGTGTGTGTGTTATGTCTTTTAACATAATTGATAGCTCTTTCTGCTATCAACTGACCAATCAGAGAAGGGCATTTTTCGACATCAGAAGCATACAGTGTGTGCAAACAAGCAGGTTGACACATAATTAGGCCTGTGCATTTCACACTTTGATGATCCAATTTCAGTTCATTAAAAAACATTCAAGATTCACAAACAGAGACCAGCCCCCTATCTTGAGGGTCAATGCCCTTATGCTCTGCAGTCTCTCATGAAGTCTCCATGGCAACAAGACAACACATGGAATGACACGAATACAACGAAGAAATTGCTATTACAACCGATCAAAACAAAACAAACCAATACAAACATGCCCAGCTATCTTATTGCAAGAACAGAGTGAACTATATTCTGTTATTCGTTTGAGCTAGGAATAGATAAGTTCACTGAAAAATTTATTAGCATTTGTTCTTGAGATTCTAATAACAAAACATCAAAACGTCAAAGCTGCAAAGGTTAGATAGTGGAGGTTTAGATTATCAGTGTTTAATTTTTAAATTGGCTTTTATGTTTAATTTAGGTTAGCTTTTGTCCATTTTAATTGTTTTTGTTTGTTAATATTTCTGTTTAGCTTTCAAGTTTAGTTTTAGTAATTTTAGTACTTAAACCAATGTTGCCAGGCCAACATTTCTAATTTGTGTTTAAGTTTTTCATCTAATGTTTATATTTTATTTCAGTTAACACAAACTATTTTAATGCTTTTAGTTTACAATAGCAACACTTATGTCAATTAAAATTAAAACTTACATTTTGATCTGTTCATCACACAAAGGTATTGTATGACTACAGATAACTTCATATGCTTTAGTGGTGCTTGCATTGGTCTCTATGAATTGTTGTGTGCCAAAAGAAAATCTCTGTGACAATTCTTTTAAAACATTGTTTTTG